TACTTCATAGACGATAAAAGTGAGATCTACAGCACTGAAGAGCCTAAGAAAATAGCTAAGATATTATACAGAGATAAATCACAGAAACTAGACAGTATTCTCTGAGAGTCTTGGAAAAAAAACTTGTAGTCATAGAAGAACTGGATTACTGCCCAAAGTATGTAGTTTATCATTGAATACAGCGGCAGCGGCAGCGTTAAAACAGTAGACTGAGTGTCTGGTCTTGCTTTTTTTTTAAAAGTATAAGATTTGTGCAAGGGACATTAGAGGAATACATTTCATTAAAATATTGCAATACAAGGTTAATTCAACCTTCTAATGTATACTTTTATCTTTGTAGGGTTAAAAAAAAGAATGCGATCAGAGTTCATAATCTGAATTAGAAACAGTGTCTTTTGTGTTGGGACTCTAAATGGAGAGATTCATGTCCAGGCTGCCATTTAAGCACAAAAATTGCTGGATGACTTTGGACCAATCACTCCCTCTTAGGGTAATCTACCTCTCAGGGTTATGAAAATAAATTATTGGAGACACCCACTCACTCTCTATCACCAGGAAAAGCACAAAGTGTAAGCAAACAAAATATAAGCATATTCTGCATTACAGTAGCAGGGTACGAACGAATACTTTGGATTTGTATACAGTATGTAAAACTGAAACTCTGCAGCTGAAAAAATACTTGTGATATTTTCAGCAAATAATCTTTTTTAAAAAAACTCTGTTGACAAAAAGTTATTAGGATAGAAATATTATAAAGGTATATAGCCTCAGACACTAAAATTCCTTTCCACAGTTTAACAGAATTATATGTAGGCATTTAAGGTTGCATGTTTTATTCTGCAACTGCTCCTATGGGAAGATCATTAATCTAGAACGAATCAAATATATTCTACAATACAGTTCAGAATGCATTCTAGGAAGAACACTATATGAATGCATCTTTTTCTTTCTTTCTTTCTTTCCTTTCTCTCGATCTTTTCTCTCTCTCTCCTTTTCTTTTCTTTCTCAATGAATTTTGATTCCTGGCAACTGTAAACAAGTCCATGACATTTTTGGAAGTAGTCTGCTCCGCCTTTTTCCTAAAGTGACTGGCCCAAAATACCTCAATTGATTTTCATGACTAAACCAGGACTAGAACTTACAATAATCTATGTTCTGCTACTCTATGTTTGCAAGTTTATTTTATGTAGCTAGGATGCCTTGTTGAAAAAAATAAAAACACTTCTCTTGATATATCTGTCAGCGCATTCAAACACAGTACCTTATATACTGATCTCAATGTTTGCATTCAAATAGACCCATAGATGTGTCTCAATACGATTGTGAGCTAGGGCATATTTTGCTAAATTATAAACTAGATAATGAATTTTAGATCTACCTATGTTTGATGATCATTTAGCAACTGGCACTGATATGGTAATACTTAATCCGGAATCATAATACTTTGCAACCCCAGGAACCAATCCAAGTGACTACATCCCAAAGATAACAAATGTATTATGTTTTGTTGGATCCGTCACCTCTGTATAGCACTTCAGATGTTTATGGATGTGGAAAGCAATCATCTGTATTGTTTGGTAGGAAAAAATGACCTACAATCCATAAAGAAGATCAACCTGTTTTAAAAAATGGAGGAAATTAACCCTGCATTTTTTTTTCCCAACAAGCTTGGCCTTTTTGCAGAGTTATCTGGTTTTTCCTCTACCTCATGGAAAAGGGAAGGCATTAGTGTATTGGTTGGCAGCTTAACTGCAATTAAACTTTGGGTGTTCCTCCTGCATTCTAAGTACTCCACTTGAATGGAACAGTAAGTCAGTAACTCTAATTGAATGGTTACTTACTAGGGACTAAGGTTTATTGCACTCCGTGGGACCTACTTCTGTGTTAATATGAATAACACTCATTTAATTTTTAAACCTCTTAAATGTGTTAAAATGGATCTACAGTTATAGGACCATTATTGGTACTGAATAGCTTTATCCTACACTGAAAGCCACTTTAGGAAGGCTGCCATTCTGAAAAAAAAACTGGTGAAAAAAACATTTAAAAGTAAATCAGAAAAGTATACACTTCCTATCAAACTATTAGTCTATTTTTCAAAACCTTTATGTAGTGTTTAATGGGGACTACACTTAATGCTTGCAGTTTCTAATTTATCACTTGATGAATTGATTCAGGGCAGCCCACCACTCTTTTTGCCATGATGGTTAATGGAAGACAGCTAATATTCCTTTAATAGTGCAGAACCTGCTCTTATTGCTGCAGCCGCCAATATGGCTTGTGAGGTGTCAAAAAAACTCCCATTCTTTTATGAAGCTACTGCTGCAGGATTTTTTTAAAAATCCCAAAACTTTTATTTAAAAACAATCTAAGCTCTTTACACACTTCCACAAAAAGAACAATGAGCATGATAGGATATTAGAACTATCCTCAATTTTTTAAAAATTTCTATTTCTTTTCCAACACCACAATGGTGATGGTCTCTTCATCGTGATTACTTTTTATGTGTCATTTAAATATTTTTTCCTTTGTTGGAGAATGAGAAATGCCTCTGTTTGTACAACCTGATCTTGACTTGTTTAATATTAATGTGGTCCCAGCTTGCTATTTCTTCCAAGCTTTGTAGAGAAAACACTCATATTAATTTTAATTAACTAAAACGAACGATCTCAGCAGGTGGCAGCATTGGCCAATGCTGTCTCTCTTTGGCAGGTAAGCAGGGTCAGCCTTGATTAATCCTTGAGAAAGCACCAGAAGATGTCAGGGTTGTAGCCTTGATGGAGGGTCCCAAAACCTTTGGAAGGCAAATGATTTCTATAGCATTGCCAACAAAACTGCATGGATAGAGTCACCATGTGTGAAGGGGCTCCTTCCATAAGGAACCCAGAAGCACTTGCCCATCATGGCTGGCCTCAAAAAGCTAATTAGGGTTACAAGGGAAGTTCTTGCTCCCTTTTTGTCTGCCAGCAAGTTCTGCTCACCGGTCGATTACATCTGCTTATTTCAGCTGCCTCACTCTTTCTCTTCCCCACCAAATGGGTTAAGGATTAAGGCATTGATCACCGGCTGACAGTTATCTCTGTGGATTTATGTACCCACTTGCCTTATTTCAACAAGGATATCACACTAATTATGTTCACAGCAGGTCAAAACTTTTTCAGAGGGAGGTTTTTACACTGGCGCCAGGCAAAAGACAACCATGATACACTGTTGTACAACAGTTTGGGGAAGTGAAACTCTACAAGACAATACAGAACGGCTCTTTATGATTGAAGGGAGAATGCTATGGATGCATCCACAAAGTCATAAGAGTCTACCTATATACAACACGTCTCCAAGCCTCCTGCCCTCAGGACAACATTCATTGTCTTTAGCAATGGCTATATAGTTTGGGTCGATTGGAAATGTAGTTCCAGGATCCCCAGAGGCCATCAGCCTGAAGATGCCCGTGGAAAGCTGCCATACACGTGTAATTATTGCAATTAAGTCTTACTTAAAAACCTTTGGGATTAACAGCCAAGGAACAGGCGCAGAAAGCTTGGGTTGTTGCGTTCAGGAGCAAAACCTTCAGTTTTCGATTAAGAAAAAAAAGCCACTCATCCTAAGCTAGGATCCAATCCTAAGGGGAAGGGAGTGAAACCAAAAGCCAGGTCCTCCCACAGGGGGCGCAGTATGGCATCCCTACTGAGAAACCAAAGGGGAAATGATGACCCTCTATACTTTTATTTATTTTTATTTAATTTGATTTGTCAATCGCTTACAAGATAATAGGTATAAGTATAAACATAATTATGAATACATGAAATCAGGGGTGGGATTCTACCAGTTCGCACCTATTCGCTAGAACCGGTTGTTAGAAGAAATTACTGGCCTAATCCTGTAAGGAAGGCAGGAAGGAAACATTCTGGTGTTGCTTACAGAAACTGCCTCTCTGTTAACCCTTATTACATTCTTGGTAAGACTAGACTTCCTGTCTCTGGAACGTCTCTGGAGCTTTTTTCCCCTCCTTTGCTGGTACTTTGCTTGTGTGGAGTGACCATTCAAAGTTACAATGGCACTGAAAAAAAGTGACTTATGACCCTTTTTCACACTTACAACTATTGCAGCATCCCCACAGTCATGAGGGGCCAGGCGAGGAGATTCGTGCCTCAATGTGAGGGATGTTGAGTTGGCCATGCCCAGCCAGTCACATGACCACCAAGCCATGCCCACCACCTAAGCCACTCCCACAGAACCGGTTGTTAAAAAATGTGAATCCCACCCCTGCATGAAATGGATACATATAAGAAAAATAAAAGAAACCATAGGACAGGGACGGTAGGCACCTTGGTGCGCTTATACCATGCAACCTACCCACGCCTTCCTAGATCCATGCTTCCCGCAGCAAAACTATAGATCTTCCCAGTCATGAAAGAAGCAGATTCCATTTTAAGCAAAGCAAAGCAAGGCAGCATTACAGCGACGGCGTTGTACGCGAAAGGGATAAAAGGAAAGCCCCCTCCCTCTCCACCAGCTCGTTAGCTTCAGATCCCCCCCCACCCGCTCCTCCCTTCGGAGACTTGGATGGTCCAGGCACGCCAAAGCCGCTCAAAAGAGCTCGAAGGGCGGGCCGGTTACGTAAACGATCCCAGCAGCCCGAAGGAGAAGGCGGACCGGCCTCCTTTACTGGCGGAGGAGGGCGCAGAAGGGAGAGCGTAACTCGCCTCGCGTAACCCATTTGCCGCCTCACTTCTCTGGGCGGAGAGAGAGGGAGAGAGAGAGGGGGGGGGTCGATTACGTAAAGGCTCCAGCCCAGGTCCAGCCAATCCCCTGGGCGATTTTTTAGAGGCGGAGCCGGAGGGGGGGGGGAAAGGGGGCGTGACTTAGCCGAGCTGCCTCGCGTCTGTGCCGTGGTTTGATAATATTAGTAACAGCCCCGGCAGCGGCGGCGGCGGCTGCGGTGTGGACGCTGCTCTCGTTTCATCCCGGAGGAGGAGTGGCGGCGAGGGGGTGGTGGGGAACCGAAGCCCTCTCCACCCCGAACAGCGGAGCAGAAAGCCGGCCGAGGAAACCCGCGAGATGAAGGAGCCTCCTCTGGCCCCGCTGGAGATTTGCCCCCGTCAGGCGTGTCCTTTTTAATCGAGGCGGCGGGGGGGAGGGAGGCGCTCCGAGGGGCGCCGCGTCCAAGTGGGGAGACGGGCTTTCTCCTCCGAGAGCCTCAGCGCGGCGGCGAGGCGAGCTGACTCTTGGCAGGTAAGCCGCGAAAGGGGCGGCCAGCCGGGTGGAAGGGAGGGAGAGCGACGGGGGGAGGCGAGAGCTGCTACCGACTGCCGGCGCATCTCCAAGGCAAGGGTGGGGTGGGAAGGAGGACTTGCCCGCACAGGGTCCCGTCTACGTGTGGGAGGTGGGGGGAATTTGGCAAGGCAAGCGCGTGAGAAACGGGGGTGGGGTGGAGAAACGACCCGTAACTTTGGCCAGCGCGTCTGCCCCCCCCCCCCCCCAAATGTCTGGCGGCGGCGGCGGCAGCAGCAGCGCGCGATCCCCGGTTGCGAGAGGCTTGCGCGCGGCAATCGCTCGGGTTCCCGGGCTGGTTTGCAGAGGCGCGCCAGGCCGGAGGAGCAGCGGTTAACTTTCTGCTTCTCTTAAAAAGCAGCGGCTTTTAAGGGTGGTGGTTTTTTGGGGGGGAGGGGGTGGGAAGCCTTCCGTCGTAGGGTGGTTGGTGGTGAATCGGTGGATGGGGAGCCCCTATCCCGGAGGCAGGGTTGGAGCGGCTGGATTGGAGGGCGAAGAAGAAGAAGAAGAAGAGGAAAAGGAGGAGGAAGAGGAGGAGGAGGAGGAGGAGCGGGCGCGTTCGCTTCTTCATTTTTGTTATTTCTTTCCCCCCCCCTTTTGTTTTAATGAAATGAATCCTCTTGGCTGGTGCGAAAACGGCCCCTTCTCCTTCAAACGCGGAGGGCAGCTTGCCGTCTTCGCTTTTGAGGCCGAGGGGAAGCGAGAGAGCAGGGCTGCTCTCTTTCCCAAACCCAGCGAAGTATGCAGTAAGGTTTCGCACGGGACTCCGTGCCCCCCCCCCTCCCCGGGGTCTCTTGGCTCCTTAAAAGACGCGAGCCGGGCGATAAACCGCGCCGCCGCCGCCTTGGAAAGATGACCCGGGAAAAGAGGCTTTCCTTTTAATTCCATCCCTCTGGGGCGGTGGTGGCTTGAGGGCAAAAGCGTCCTGCCCGCTTAAGGCACAGCTGGTGCTGATTGTCGGCTTGCTTGGCTGCGGATCACGGACTCAGGACCGGGTGGGCGGATGAAAGGATCGAGAGAGGAGGCTTTAAGCACTTCGTGTTCCTTCCTTTCTTTTTCGCTGGGAGGTTGTTACTGCGGAGGAATTCGTCTCACATGGGCTCTCCTTCGCATCATGGTTCCACTTGAAAGATAAGGAAGAAAAAAATACTAGGGTAGTGAGGAATCCTTAGAATTGGGCGGGTTGCTCAGGATTTTCTGTATGGTCGAGCCACTGGATTCTGTTTTTTTTTATTATTATTAAATGTCAGAAGTCAGCTGGGGAATAGGGCACTGGTGTCCTTGGACACATCTAAACTCCTTTTCCCTGGATAGTAAGCCAACATGCCTGTCCGGAATGTTCATTTCTCTCCTCGCCAACATATTTGAGCTATACAGACTGGATTTTGAAATGTACTCTTTTGGTTGCCCCGTGATCCCTTAAAATCTTTGCTTTCCCCTCCCCTCCCCACAATCCTCTCTACTTCCCAGTTTCTAATTGGGATAATGCAGCTAAGATCCATCGTGCTCTTAGGTACCGTTGTTTATAAAGCATGCAAAATCTTAACCCCAAAGTGTAATTTTTTTCCCCAGTGAAACATGGCTGTTTACATTTTGCAAAGATTTTGGAATCAAATCAGTATTGTGTATAAAAGAGATGCAGTGCATCCATGAATTGGATATAATGTGTCACCTTGTCCAGCAAATACACTCAAATTTTAGTAGATCTTCATGTTTAGGTATTCTTGGAATTTCTGTCTGTGTATATTTGCTCAAAGCTAATAGCAAGTCTTTTTTATAAATAAGCATGCCTTTAAACTTCATGGGAACTTCTGAGTAAATATGGAAAAATCAGGTAGTTAAGCTGAAATCTTACATATATCCCCTTTATGAGGAAATAGGTATAAAAACGGTGTATTTCTGTCTGTTGGTTTTCCTCTCAGTCCTATATGAAAGGAGAAAAATTCCTGTAATTATTCAAATCTGTGATGATGCTTGCCATTCTAAATACAGAATAAAGTAATTTTGAAGTTTGCTTGGCAATCGACATTGCTTAAATGAGCTCTTGAGAATATGTGGTTGTAAATCAGTGCTCAGAAATGATACAATTTAAGATGACGTATTTACCTATTGGCCATAGTACTAAAAAGAGGCATTTCAGTATTTTGACTACAGGCTGCCATTAACTATATGGACTCTATGCCGAGTGGTAGTCTCACAGGAGAAAGCAGCCATGAAATTATTTTTTTTCAGAACCTCAAGATCTTGTACTTGATTGCATATTACTTTAGGGTCTCACTTTTTTGACTTACTAAAAATTGTTATGCCAGGCTACATGTTTTTGTTTTGTTTTTAAATGTTTTTAAATGCTTATATAGCAGAAAAACATTAAGATCAAACATATGGTCTAGATTTATATGTAATACATATAGTTGAGACTGCTTTCGGTCTAGGAAAAAGAGATGCCATGACAAGAATTAGTGTTCTTTAGCAAAATAAAGCTGGTAATGAGAATGGTATGGTATACTATACAGTTTCTTTAGGATATCATCTTAACTAAGTCTCTTGAGAATGCACCCGAGATCCTGTGTTGGAGATTATTTTCTACGTTAACTGGAGGGTTGGGGACATTCTTATAATTTGTGATCCTTTGTCATATCCCAGGAATAGCTGTACAGTTAATGAATATTCCAGGGAAAGAATGCATTACCAAAGAGCACTTTGCTCCTCACAAGTACTGTGTTTCTCCAACAATACAGCCTCCACCAATAGGAAGGCCCAGCATGATTTCTAGGCATGAGGTGAAATTAAGCCCCACCCCCAAAATTTAGGCCTATTTAATCCATGCGTTTCCCCACCATTTCTCACATTGTTCGTTAAAACTACACGAGGTGAAGAGAAACGGGGGGGAGGGGCGGGAGAAAAGTTGCCTTTAGGAGTGCCCTGCAGGTAGCCTAGGCTAGAATACCCCATTCTACTACCGGTAGAACATTAGCCGATAGAAGCTCCCCAAAGGCAGAGTCACCAGCCACTTCTATCGGCCAGTAGAAGTGGCCTCGGGGCGAGCGCCCATGCGCACTCCCCTTGCCACAAAGCCGTTTCTGTAGGACAATGGAAGCTCCCCAAAGGCAGAGTCACCAGCCGCTTCTATCGGCTGTTAGAAGCAGCCTCGGGGCGAGTGCCCACGTGCACTCCCCTCGCCACAAAGCCGTTTCTATTGGCCGATGGAAGCTCCCCAAAGGCAGTCACCAGCCGCTTCTATCGGCTGGTAGAAGTGGCTTTGTGGTGAGGGGAGTGTGCGTGGGGCGCTTGCCCTGAGGCCGCTTCTACTGACCGATAGAAGCGGCTGGTGACTCTGCCTTTGGGGAGCTTCCATCGGCCGATAGAAACGGCTTCGTGGTGAGGGGAGTGCACGTGGGGCGCGCCTGTCAGGAGCACTCCGCGGGCAGCAACGCCTCGCCCTGAAGCAGCTGGTGACTCTGCCTTTGGAGAGCTTCCATTGGCCGATAGAAATGGCTTCATGGCGAGGGGAATGCGTGTGGGCGCTCGCCACAAGGGCGCTTCTACTGGCAGATAGATTTCCTCACCCCCACACACCCCCACCTAGAGCACCCCATGCTCACTCACTTCTCCACGCCGCCGCTTCTACCTGCCGATAGAAGCGGCTAGTGACTCTGCCTTCGGGGAGCTTCCATCGGCCAATAGAAGCAGCCTTGTGGAGAGGTGAGTGCGCATGGGGCTCTCTAGGTTGGGGTGAATGTGGGGGAGGAAATTAAGTCACCCCTGAAAAGATGTCCTAGCCGTTTTTTCAGGGCTCAAAAAAAAAATAAGACCCGGCCTTATTTTATTAGAAACACGGTATGTTAAACAACAGTTGAATGAAAAACTGCTGGTGACCTTCTACCGCTGCACCATAGAGAGTAACTTAACTTACTGCATCTCTGTATGGTTTGCCAATTGCACAGTGGCAGATAGGAAAGCACTCCAGAGGGTTAACCTCATTGCCCAGATCATTGGTTGCCGTCTCCCCTCTTTGGAAGAACTTTATAGCTCTCGCTGCCTTAAGAAAGTTCAAAACTTTCTCAAAGATCCATCTTTTCCTGGGATGGACCTGTTTTTGAACTATTACCATCTGGCAGATGGTACAGAATAATAAAAACAAGCACAAATAGGCTGAAAAACAGCTTCTATCCCAGGGCAGTAGCTCTTTTGAATTCTCCTGTATAGTGTAGTGTTGATGCAGTGTTGCAGGTTTTCGGTTCAATGTGTGGAGTGTGAAGGATGTGTGTTTGTGTTTATTTTCATGATCATGATGTGCACTGAAGATGGCGTTTACTTTCGTTGTACAGGTGCAATGACAATAAAGTAAAGTAAACTAAATATTTTCCATTTGAGAGCAAAATCTTTTGGAGTGTGATGTTTTTTACTTTGAAGTCTCATAGTCCAGGGTTTCAGTTTGTTCAGGACAGGGATAAAGAAGGACTTATAGGGGACTCATTTTGAATTATGATTGCTTTAATTCCAACTACAGGTTATGACCACAATTGAGTCCAAAATTTCTGTTCCTAGGTGAGACAGTTAAGTGAACTTTGCTTCATTTTATCTTTCTTTCCACAGCTAGGTGAATCATTGCAGTTGTTAAATTAGTAACCGGTTGTTAAGTGAATCTGGTTTCCCTACTGACTTAGCTTGTTAGAAGGTCACAAACGGTGAACATATGACCCCAGGACACTACAAAGGTCATAAATATGAGTCAGTTGCCAAGTGCCTGAATTTTGATCATGTCAATCATGCGGTATGATTGAAAATGTGAATAACGTTCATAAGTCACTTTTTTGCAGTGCCGTTGTAACTTCAAATGGTCACTGAATGAACCGTTGTAAGTCAAGGACTACCTGTATGCAAGTAGGAGAAGGTTGATGGAATTCTGGAGAAAGAACTGTAACGTAGGAAATGATGTTTTGATAGAAGACAGTTGAAAA